ATAATTATTTTTTTTAAAAAAGAAGAGATTGTGGTGTGACCACATCCTCTTAGGGGATGTTCCCTGCCCACTTCCACAACCCTAGCATGCACTCTCTGGCAAAATTAAAATAAACATTTTCGGGATCAGCAGTTAGCGTAATGGCTATGTTGCTGAACTCCCATGTAGTCAACTGCAGTTCGAGTCCAGGACCTGGTGGCTTAAACTCACGCCGGGCGCGTGTGCATGCATGCCCAAGATCCTGAGAGGAGAATGGAGGAGAAGGGATTGTGGCATGGCCATCCCCCCTGGGGGGTGATTTCTCCCTTTCTGTCTCTCTGTCTCTCTCTGTCTGGCGAGCATCTGCGCCCTATAGCAAAACCCTCTCAAAAAATTTTTTTTCTGAATTGAATTCTTTGATATAAACTGCAAGCTTTTGAAACTTAATGTTCTTATGAAAAATACTTTCATTTAAGACAGAATATGTAATCGAAACAGTCCTGAGAACAGTATATAAATATATATAAACACACACACACATGCATATGTACCCACAGGATCTCACAGCTGGATGGTAATTTGCCATATGGAAAGCATTGACTTTTTTTTTTTTTTTTAATTTTTGCTAGAGGGTACATGAGCGGGAAGCAGACAGAGAGAGAGAAGGTGAGAAAGCCCCCTCCAGGAGGGGTAGCCATGCTGAGACCTTCTCCCCTCCATTTCCCCTCAGGAATTCTGGGCATGCACACACGGGCATCCATCCCAAGCCCTCGGGTCCTTGGTAATCTACCGCTCGAATTGTGTGGGCAGCCATGTGGGAGCCAGTTGCCTTATCTCTCCTTGTTTTTCTTTTAAAAAAATTTTTTTTAAATTACTAGGGTCAGCAGGTAGCATGTGGTTAAGGCGCTAGACTCCCACATGGCCGACCACAGCTCGGCTTGCTTTCTCACTTTCTCTCTGTCTTTCTCTAATGAGTGCACATGCCCTTTAGAAAATTAAAATGTATAGTAATAACAAATAAAATTAAATAAGTAATTCTCTTAAAAATAATTATAAGGAATTATTTTTAAAGAATTAAACTTTAACGAATTATCTATTTAATTTTATTTGTTATTATTATAATTTTTTAAAAATTTGACCAGGGAGAGAGAGAAAGGAAAAATGAGAAACCAAGCCACCAGATCCGGGACGCGATCCATGGTTGAGGCACGTGGGAGTGCAGCACCTTAACCACTGCGCCACCAGCCAGTCCCTTAAATAAAAAAATCTTTAAAACAAATAAAAAGTTTGCTAGAAGAGGTACCAGCAGATGGCATGGAACTTAAGGTGGCTGGATCCCACATGGCCGACTCCACAGCTGCAGTCACAGACTGGAAGCCTTGAAACTCATGCTGGGCACATGTGCACATGTGGATTGCCATGTGGCCACCCCTTCTGTGGGATGATTTCTCACTTCCCCTTTTCCTTTCTCTCTCTCTGTTTCTCTCTAGCAAGTACATGCACCCTTTAGCAAGAAAAAAAAAGGTTGCTGGAGGATCCATGTACCTGTCAGAGATAGAGAGACAGAGGAAGAGGGGAGGGGAGAAAGCACTCCTCCACCCATGGGGTGTGGTCACGCCACAATTTCTTCTCCTCCATTTCTCAATCCTACTGGGATTTGGGGATGCATGCTTACATACCTGGCATGCTTTTCAAGTTGCTGGAGACAGGATTCAAACCACGAGGTTGGCTATGTGGGAATCCAGCCTCTCTAGCCATTCGACCACAGGGCTGGCCCCCAAGGACATGCCCACAGGGCATACACGAGAGAGAGAGAGAGAGAGAGAACAAGAGAGAGAGAAACGCCCTTCATGGGGCCTGGTCACTCACTGACTCTGCCTTCCTCCAGATCTCCAGCCCATCAGATCCTGGGCACTCACCCACATGCCTGCATGGTTCAGGCTATGAGATGGGGATTCAAACGGAGATCCCACGTGGGTTCTGGCTTCTCTTGGGCAGCACGTTACGGCTGCACCATGGAGCCAGCCTGGGAAGCCTTTTTATGTCCATCTTTTTCCATGTCTCCCTAACAACCAGCTTATGAAGATGGGATTACAGATAAGGGAAATGAGGCCAAGGAGTCAAGGGGAACAGACTCAGGGCTGTGGAGATGGGGATGCCAGCACACGCATCTAGATTCTCTGTTAAGTCCGTGCTTTTTCTCTTCCGACTGTACACACACACACACACCAGTTCTTTCTTTAGGAACTAAAAACAACAGCATATCTATGAAGCGGAACCACATGAAATTGCCAATATTTAAATGCCTCGGGCCCACAGAAATGATTTCACATGGGTCGGCCTAAGGCCTCACTGAATTGCACAGCACTGAGTTAATCTGGGCAAAGGTGGACCCGTGACAAAGGGAAGCCGACCTTTCCAGTGAGAAAGCGAGTTTTCTTCTCACCGTCCATCAGCACCACGCAACTTTCTACAGGACCGCCCAGACGCCATGCTGGGGGAACGCCGTCTGTCTGGGAAGGCACTGGATGCGCGGATGGGACTGCTCATCTCTGCAGACACAGGCCGTGGGCTACTTGCCAGAAAGAAGCAAAGGCTGGAACGAAACTGCTTTCACACCTCCTCGTGCCCCCATGCCATACCCCAGGTCCCTGGGTGGTCTTTCCTCACCATGGGAACTTCTGGGACATCAGGGCTGTTTCTCATGATGTGAGGAAGGCGGTGGGAACGGGGCGTCCTTATGAACCACTGTTTGTTTCTCCTCTCCCGTGTTCTCTTTCAGTTGTGCTTGTTCAGCCCCCCCATACACACACACACACACACACACACACACACACACCTCTTGGGGGGAACGGGGAGGGAGGAAGCTAGCCTCGCCTTCCCCTTCAGCAAGGAACTGGGGCAGCGGGAGGGGGAAGCGGAGGAGGCGGGATTCCGAGGAAAAGCTGTGTCTGGGGAAAGATGTCGCACTGATACAGAGTGACCCATTTAAAGGGCTGTGGGCGGCCGCCCTGTGCTCCCAGGTTCTCGGCAGACTGAACGTGCACGCACAGATGCACACCTGGGCTCTCGCACTCTCACGTGCTTCCCAGCATGTACCCGGAGTCTCTCCCTAAACGCTCACACGGGGGTGGCCAGAACTCAGACCATAGTAAGTGTGGTCACGTGGCGTCTGTCACTCTCCTTCCTCTCTCCTCCTCTCACTTCCCTACTCTCTCCCACTGAACCCAGGGAACTTGGCAGAAAGAAGAGGATAGTGTTGGGAGCAGGGCAGGTGAGAATGCGAGTAGTACACAAGAACAACGTGGGAAAGTTAAAGACTTCCAAACATCGCCCTAACTAGAGATTCACACATCGCACGTCTGGGTGGGCAGAAACACAGCAGGAGGAGGGCCCTGGAGAGAAGCCATGCCTTTCCTACCCTTTTCCTTCCTTTCTCCCTTCCTCCTCCCCTCCCTTCCCTCCTTCCTTCCTTTCCTCCGTTCTTCCTCCCTTTCTTCTTCCCCCATCCAGCAGGCACCACCTACCATGTGCCAGCCTACACCAGGCATTAGGGACACAGGCGACGGGACCTGGGCACTCCTGAGCCAGCTGGGGCTCTGTGCAGCGTAGCCAAGCACCACCAGAGGCTCCGCCTTCAGCCTCCAAACTTCTGATTTCCTCCCAAACAAGGACTCTGGCGCCCTCAGAGACTGTCAGACTCATCCCAATTTCTTGGCTCGAAGGCTTTGTCTAGTCTGCGCTCACCCCGGCCTCTGTGAGGAACCAGGAATTAAGCTGACACGTTAACCTGAGTGGTTGTTTTTACTTTCTCTCACTTATTGGCTATCATCCCATCTCACTGATGTAAAAACGGTACGCAAAGCAGTGCGGTAATCTGCCCGAGGTCACTCTTCAGGAAGTGGGGATCTGGGATGGGATCTGGGCTGGCTGGCTCCACAGCCCATGCGCTTAGCCATCACACCTTTCAGGAGAAGACGAAGGGCGTGGGAAATAGGGTGATATCCCGCCGCCATGGCAGGCCGATGTAGGAGAACGGCACCTGCATGGGTGTCTGGAGATGTGATTGAAGATCCGGACCTGCCACAAACTTGATCGGGACTCTGGACAAATCACTTAATGCCTCAGAGCCTCCTTTCTTATTAGAGAATTCTGATGAGCTCATCTGTACGGTTCTTTGACTTTTAACAAGCCGTTTCAGGCAAGGAATTACAATGAACATGTGTGCTAGTGGTCAAATTTTAACACTGTTTAAAAGTTTATTTATGGGACCAGCAGACGGCGTAATGGCTATGTCACTGGACTCCCATGTAGTCCAGCATGGTTTGAGTCCCGGACCAGACAGCTTAAACTCACGCCGGGCGCGTGTGCGTGTGTGCCCAAGATCCTGAGAGGAGAACAGAGGAGAAGGGATTGCGGCGTGGCCATCCCCCCATGGGGGGTGATTTCTCGCTTTCTATCTCTCTGTCTCTCTCTGTCTTTCTGGCGAGCGCACATGCCCTATAGCAAAAAACCTCTCCAAAAATAAAAGTTTATTTCTTTCTTTCATGAGAGACATATGAAGAGACAGAGAGAGAGAGAAAGAGAGAGCCAAAGAGAGACAGAGAGACATCCCTGACAAAGTTCCCACATCGTGCACCCCCAGTCTCCACCAGGCCAGGTCATGGGTGGGCACACGCATGCACCCAGCATGAACAGGAAGGCTGTAGGACATGAACCTGGGATGGTCCCATGTGAGTCTCACTGTCTGGCCTCCAAATTGTAACACTTTTCAATGTCTCTGAATGAGAAGGAGAACAGGGAGATGGGCATGTGCACAAGCCCAGCCATGACTGGGAAAAGCGTGACTCACACCTGGAGGGGGCCTGCAGAGGGTGTGGACTGTCCGTGAACTCTGCTACCCTCTGGGTCTACCGGGCACTGGGCGGCCGGGGCTGGGCCAGCATCAGTGGATCAACGTCCAGGCCCAGTGACAGAAGAGGAGAAGGCAAGAGGGACGTGCGGGGGCAGGAGGTGCTCACCATGACGATGTTGGCCAGATGGGCAGAGACCAGTGCGTACACCCCTCCAGAAGAACCCACGACGGGTGCGGTCATGTCGGCCACAGACACTGCCAAGGACCCTGCACAGAGAGAGGGAGAGTGCTCAAGAGGACTGGACTCCACTCCCCCATCCCAGGCCCCGCTGGATTCTGTAGCCTTGGTGGTGGGACTCCAGAGCGAGAGGCCCCCTTCGCTGCCTCCTTGGATTCCGTGCTCCTCGGAGCTTCCTGTGCGTTTCCTAGAGGATGAACTCATGGCCGAAAGAACCATTTGGTTCCGAGTTGGGAAGCAAGGACCAAGAGAAGGGGAGTGAGGCGCCCAAAGCGGAGCTTGCACGAAGACCCAGGTGGTCTGCCTCTCCGCCCAAGCTCTGCCCAATCTCCAGCTGGCCTGTGGGATCTCAGGGTGCTGGAGCAGGGACACTCACAGGAGCATAGTGGCCCTGCAGACACGGCTCCACTTAGGGGTGCAATGTCACACCGGGCAAGCGTTGTGCACACTCTTCCCTGTGACCTTTCGCACAGCCCTCCGGGGCAGGTGCTACTAGCTGCAGGAGATGAGAGGCTGAGCCCAGAGTCTCTGGCAGCAAATGTGGAACCAGGCCTAAGTCTAGGTCTGCTGGACGCAGAGCGTGTTCGTGGCCAAAGCCCGTGCTCTTGGTCTCCCCGGCAGCTGCTTGCCGCTCTCCAAACCAGTGCAGAGGTTAACCTGTACCCTCACCACTGCTCTCTCTGCTCAGCAGCATCTAGAAACTTGCTTAGCAACGCTCCAACCTTCCTCCTATGGAGCTAAATCACAAAGGATCTCCAAGTGAGCGAGACGTCTTTGCAGGAAAAAAAACGTCCTTGAAAAGTCACCAGGAAGAGAGAGATGATGTCATACCCTCCCAGGGGAAAGGCGAGGATATTCGTCTTGGGCTGGGGGATGACAAACTTTTGTCTTGAGAGGGAAGCTGGACAGAGAGGAGATGGGAGATTTATTGTCCTGGTCTTGTTTAAGTGTGATCAATGCTTTGGCTTCCAGGGAAGGACACGAGAGACTAAAAATAACTAGGAGGTAGAGCCCAGGGCTGAGGAGGAGAGGTGGCTGGCCTGGGTGAGTGTGCAGAAATCACCACTGGAAAATGCCCCCGGGCTCATGAGCCAATTAGTTGCTGGGGAGAGGAGGGACAGCAGGAAAGCCGAAATCTGCAGGTTCTACAGGGTGGAGGATTCACAGCGGAGGAGGCAGGCCCAGCCCAGGACCAAGGCACCTGCCCACCAAATGCGGAGACGGAGTGTGAAAAGCTGCTGGCACCGTCAGCTGCCTCCCCCTGCCCCCGCCTCTCTCCAGGCTCCTCTGTTCACTGAGATCCGTCAAGGAAGAGATTCCCCACAATCTATTCCTGGTCTCAAGGGGGTCGTAATCTCTCAGGAAAAAGCAAACTGTCATGAACTGAGGAGTCCCCGAGTCTTCCTCCCCTCCCAGGGCAACTATAAATCTTCCTTTTCCCCTTTCATGCCTTCTCTCCAGCTTTAATTAGGTATTGATCTATTGTCAGATAACTTTCAAAACCCAGGGTCTTTTTTTTTTTTTTTTTTTTTTTTCCACCTCCTTAGCCACAGGGTCAGCCATATATAACAGGGGAGAGGGAAAAAAAAATCCCAGGGTGGCAAACAAACAGACAGTAGATCTGCATGACAAAGGATTCCCACGCTCCCGGCAGGGCTGTCGAAGGCGGCTGCATTGCAGGGCTGCAGAGGCCGGCTGCCCCAGCCCAGGCTGCTCCTCATTAATTACCTTTTGGACAGAGGAAGCCCCAACCTCCACAGCTGGCTTCTTTCCTTGTGTAGGTCCCTACAAATGGCCCAGATTCTGCTCCCTCGTCTAGTCCCCTTGAGGTCCAGCCCCCAGGCAGGGAAGGGCTCCTGCCAGGGTCAAGCCTGCACACAGTGACCTTTTCCTCACCCTCACCCCAGGGCCAGGGGTCAGTCTGAGATTAGGCAGGAGTACGGAGTGGAGGCGTGGCTGGCTAGTTGTGCCACCGTGGGCAAGGCCCCTGAATTCCCTGGGCTTCAGTTTTCACATCTGGGAATGAGACTTTCCCACCCTATCACTTTCCAGCATCTGAATGGTGAAATGCTTTTTCAAAGGGAGGCTTCCTGGACCCCCTAACCCTAACCCTAACCCTCAGAACAGAGCACACAGAGCCTCTCTGGCTGAATGCTCATAGGGCTTGGGGAGCAGAATTTGCTGCCCTCCCAAGGGGACCTCAAGGGTTCCTTCCAGATCCGGAAGTCGATCATCTGAGTCTTGGCCTGAGATCCAGGGGGCGGGTTGTGGAATCCTAGTTCTAGAATCTTGGAGGAATCTCAGACCCACCTCCTACAATTGTGAATAAAGCGTCCCTCAAGTGTTGGCAGATGAGCCCTGGACTGGAGTGACAGACCAAAACACAGGGATGGAAACATCTAAACACAGTAATAAGGGCCCTCCCAGGGCAGCTGGCTGGCTCTTCACAAGCTGTGAGGAATTCCACAGAGGTCGCAGGGGCAGAGGACCGAGAGGACACCACTCTGCAGTGGCAGACTTAGAGACTAGTTCTAGTCAGGGCTATGAATTTTCTGAAACAAATTCTGGGTCCATGTCAGAGCACAGGTAAATTGGTGACCTGGCCACAGTGCACAGCTCCAACAATTCTAGCAGGGAAAAAAAAAAATTAATTAATTACTTAATTAATTATTTCTAATTATTTTTCAACTTGACTGGAGAGAGAGAGAGACAGAAATCAGGCCACCAGGTCTGGGACCTGAACCATGGTCAGTCATGTGGGAGTCCAGTGCCTCAACCGCCATGCCACCTGCTGGCTCCATGCCAAGAACAATTGAAAGCAGGTGTTCCCCAACATCTCCCTTGGTCATTAAAAAACACCCATGTAAAAATCAGCAGGACGTCTATCTTTAATAAAAAAATGTTGCCAGAGGGCACATGTACTCGTGGTGTAGGGAGGGAGGAAGTGAGAAAGCACCCCCTTGGGAAACCGTTATACTATAATCTCTTCTGTGTTTCTCCCTCGCTTTGGGATTTGGGGTACGCATGCACACACATCCAGAGTGTGTGGGTCAGGCCAATGAGTCTGGGACTCAAACAACACGGTCAGCCAGGTGGGATCCAGCCACATTAACCATCATGTCATGAGCTGGCTCCACTCTTGCATTGATTCTACTAACATTTATTGCCTTTTGTGCTTCGTAGGTCTTGGGGGTGCACATGGGGTTTATAATCTGTATAATCTACAATAAAAGCTGGGTGATGCACTGAAGACAGTGACTTTTAAAGTCCTTAGACTGTTAGCCACATTTAACCCCTAGCTGTACATGAGTGCCGTAGCGGCCTCAGAGTTGCTTACAAGATCAGGGCTGTGAGGAGTTCTGCCCCAGTTCTACTACTTAGCTGAGCAAACTCAAAAGTCACTTTACCTCGCTGAACTGCCCATGAAGTGGAAGTGACAGTTCCCACTTCACAGGCTTGTCGTGATAACTACAGGCAATAACATACGTGAAACCATTATTACATACCTGAAGCAACATATGTGCTCATAGAGGTTTGCTCTTGGTGTTACAAAATCTGGTGGCCTTAAATGTGAAATGCTTTAGTAAGGCAGGAACTAGAGACAAGGGCCAGATGTCTATTAAGGTCTTCTTTGGTTTCTTTTTCTTTTTAGACATGGTCTCACTAAGTCATTATCCTCCTGCCTCAGCCTCCAAAGTAGCTGGGACTACAGGGTGTACCACCATGCCCAGAGTGGGCAGGGAATGGAACCTGGGCCACCCATGTGGCCTCCGCCTGCCAAGTACCTATGTCTACCAGCATGTACTACCATGACTGGCCTCTCCCTGAGTTTCTGACAAAATAGTACCTGCACAAAAGAAAAGGCCTACCTTTTGGTTCTCTCGCTCTATGGTAGTGGGTTAGAGTACAACCTTTGGAGTTAGTCAAATGGGTAAGGCCAGCCCTGCTACTTATGAGCTTGGTCTTCACGGCCAAGTCCCTTCCCTACTGAGTCTTGGCTTCTGCATCTGTGCCAGGTGGAGAGTAACAGCACTTGCCTCTTGGGGTGGTTGAGAGGGTTAAATTTGGCCTGCATGAGCCAGCAGGTGACATGGTGGTTAAGGTGCTGGACTTCCACATGGCTGACTGTGGTTCAAGTCCTAGACCTGGCAGCTTGCTTTCTCTCTCCGTCTCTCTTTGGTGACATACATGTCCTATAACAAATAAAAAATAATAAAAAATGGGACTAGCAGTTAGTGTAATGACTATGTTGCTGGACTCCCATGTGGTTGACCGTGGTTTGAGTCCCGGATCCAGTGGCTTAAACTCATGCCAGGCACCTGTGCATGCCCGCCCAAGATCCTGAGAGGAGAATGGAGGAGAAGGGATTGCAGCGTGGCCATCCCCCCTAGGGGTGATTTCTCGCTTTCTGTCTCTCTATCTTTCTGGCAAGCGCACATGCCCTAAAGCAAAAACAAAAAACAAAAAAACCAAAAAAACAAAAAAACCTCTCCAAAAAAATTAAAATTAAAAAATTAAAAATTAAAAATTAAATTAAATAAATCATTCTTTAAAAAAAAATGACCTGCATAGGTAGGCCCAAGAACACTGGCTCTTGGGAACCAGCAGTTAGCATAATGGCTATGTCGCTGGACTCCCACATAGTCGACCGCGGTTCATGTCCTGGACCCAGTGGCTTAAAACTCACGCCGGGCGCGTGTGCGTGCGTGCCCAAGATCCCGAGAGGAGAATGGAGGAGAAGGGATTGCGGCGTGACCATCCCCCCTGGGGGGTGATTTCTCGCTTTCTGTCTCTATGTCTCTCTCTGTCTCTCTGGCGAGCACACGCGCCCTACAGTGAAAATCTCTCAAAAAAAAAAGAACACTGGCTCTCTAGTCAGGCCTGGGTACCTGTAAACAAATGGGTTCCTCTCTTGGAGAAGGGATGTGGAGAGGGTGAAGGGATGGGCAGCACAGGCAGATCAATCAGGTTAATCCTGGAGATCGATGACATGATAAGAGCCCTCTGGTGTCAGTGACTCCGGAAGAACAGTGCAGGCCACGTGCTTTATGACACGGCCTCACCTGCCCATTCCGGTGATGAGCCCTTCTCTGTGTATCTTCCCACTCCGCACCAGTTTCGTCAGGAAGGGATCCCTGCATGGTCTCCCTGCATGCCACCTGGCTTGTGTGAGGTCTGAGTCATGTAGAATCTCATTTCTATCTTCTGGCTCACGGGCACTCAAGCGTCTGCCTGTTGGAACACTAACGGCGAGTGTTATGAGCTCTCCCTGTTCCTCGCCACTTAACATCTGGGGCTCTGCGTATCTAGGCATGGGAATTGCAGCTGTAAATCCCAGATGTCAGGAGGAGGAGGGTGGGTGGTTGAGCAAGTCTGGCACGTGGGATGCTCATTAGGTCTTTGTTCACGGAAGGGGTGGGTGCTGGATTCCCGAGAGACTGTCCAAGGTGCCCAACAGTTTCTGTGCGTGTGGTTCTATTTTTTCTATTTGCCAGAGGGCATGTGTGCTCACGAGAGAGAGAGAGAGAGAGATCACCCCGCTCTCCATAGGGAATGGTCATGCTGCAATTGCTTCTCCTCCATTTCTCCAGCCTTTTAGGATTCAGGGCATGCACGCACGCACGCATACACGTGCATGGCGTATTTTCTAGCCTCTGGGTCTGGGACTTGAACCACACAGTTGGCCACGTGGGATCCAGTTCCCTTAATAGCAGCCAGCCCACAATTGGGACCTGGGTGTTTTATTATTTTTATTTACTATTATTTTTTAGATAGGGTCCCGCTTTGTCATGAACCTCCTGCCTTAGCCTCCCAAGCAATGGAGACTAGAGGCACATCCACGGGGATCAGGGGGGTCCAGCAATTGAACCAGGCCTCCCATGTGGCCTCAGCCTGTGGAGCAATGGCGCAGCACTGTGGCTGGGCCAAGGTGACCCACGTTTTTAACCTGAGCACACAGAGGCGCACAGAAGATGGTGCGGGGGAAAACCACACTGAGGGTTCACGAACCAGCCAACCAGCGTGGGGTAGCAGTGGGACCCTGAGCTCATTGGTTCACAACCACTTTCATTCCTCCAAGGGTCCCTGCCCGCCCGTTGTTTACAAGGCCTACGCTGGCCGGCTCTCCTGATGACAACTTTAATGCCACTCAGAAAGGATTAAGATCTTACTTAAACACACACACAAAGCTCCCTTGGGCACAGCTGTCGAGCTGAAGAGCTGAGGCGGCAAACCTTGTTTAAAAAAAAAAAAAGAAAAAAAGCCAGCAGTCAAGTTGGAAACATCACTAGGGTGATCCCTATGTTCAGAAGCTCGGCTGGGAAGCTGGGAGAAACCCAGTCTGCTCTGCCCAGGTCACTCCACTCACCTCGCCTCCCACTGGGGGACAGACAGAGCAGGAGGTCTCTGGAAGTCACACTGGCCAGTATCCACACACTGATGGTCACCAGCCCAGCTGCACGTACGCCCAGGCAGCTGCAGGCCCCAGACTTCCAGATGGAGTGAGAGCCTGGTACCTCTTGGGCCAGGATCTCCTGGCAGCAATGGGTCAAGTGAGAGCAGAAGCCAGAGCTTTGCATCCGGGGGCTGCTCTGGTCAGGGAGGGATCTGTCCACAGATTTGATGCCCCAATGGGGACCTCGCTGTACTCGGTGACTTACACAGCACTGTTATTCCATCTGTTGCCTCACTCCACCCTCCTAACAACACTACTGGTAGATCTCATTGGTTCCTTCTAAAGTTTAATGGGACCAAGAGGTTCAGGAATTTTCCCAGGCTCGCATGGCGACAACATGGCAGCGTGCAGACAGACACTTGGTCAGCCTGTCGGTTCCAAACGCTGTGCTCTCCCCACCTTCGCCAGCACGCGCCTCCCTCTCTGCAAGACAGTCCCTTTGCAGCCTCCCAGGGAGATCTACCCCTGACGATTCAGGGCCCTCTTGCCTACCTGCCACAACACCAGCCACGTAGACAAGCCCAATGCGGGTGGCTCCATGCACCATCTCCAGGGGCACCCCCACCAGCAGCTGTAGCACCACATTGAGTCCCAGGTGCTCTATCCTGTGATGGAGAGACCACGCTCATTCATGCAGCCATTCGACAATCGCGTATGCCAAGAAACTGGGCGTGCCGCAGCGAGCCAGCCTCTGGCTCTGGAACTCACAGTCTGGTGGGGAAGAATGATGTACAGATAGACCATCTTGAAAAGAGTGCTCCTTCTAGCTGGGACAGGGACACATGTGCAGGACCTGGGAGGTGACTGGCAGTGTCTGCAATGGCAACAGTGAGTCACAGCCGAGATGCAGAGACTCCACTGGTCTGCACCTGAGAAGCTGAGGCTCAGAGAGAGGCAGTGGTTGGCTTAGGTAGACAGCTGGTTAGTGCCAGGCTGGGGCCACAGCCCTGGTCCTCAGTCTGCACAACCTGCCTGACTTGCGTTCATCAGCCCATCCGGCTGCTCTGGCTCTATTTGTAAGAGTTACTGAGATGTTCTCAAAAGAAGTGCAGACATTATAAAGATACCTCTTGCATTGGGTCGTCAGAAAAGTCATGACATCTTTTTGTTTTTCTATGCAAAAATGTGTCATGACTTTTCCAACAACCCAATACTTTAAGAATTCAAAGTTTGGGAACCAGCAGTTAGCATAATGGCTATGTCGCTGGACTCCCACGTAGTCGACTGCGGTTCGCGTCCCGGACCCGGTGGCTTAGAACTCACGCCGGGCGTGTGTGCGTGCGTGCCCAAGATCCTGAGAGGAGAATGGAGGAGAAGGGATTGCGGCATGACCATCCCCCCTGGGGGGTGATTTCTCACTCTCTGTCTCTATGTCTCTCTCTGTCTGTCTGGCGAGCGCACATGCCCTATAGTGAAAACCTCTCCAAAAAATAAAAAAGAATTCAAAGTTTTCCCTGAAGGTCTAATAAGGAGCCTTCTCTTTTCTGGAGTGAGAAGGAGCCTATATCTGTTCCCCAAACTCACAGGTTTAAAAGAGGGGACCCCAGGTTTTCCTACCCTGTGTGTAGCTTCCTCTGCACACTACCAGGCTCCTGTGACAAGATCTTGTTGCCAAGTGCGTGGGGGCATTCAGCCGAGTGTGTGTGCTACCAGAAGAGACGGTAACATCAGGGCGATTAAATCGATGCGGCACTTCCATGTTTACAAAGCACTTGAACACCGGTGATCGCATTTTCAGCTGAGCCTCCAGCACCTGGAGAGCTCCCTGGGGTTGGTCTAAGTTATGGAGGAACAGCTGAAGGAGAGGCTGGACCCTGGCCTGGATCACCACCTGGCTCTGGGTCTGCAGAGCTCTGCTTGGAGGCCCAGCTGTGCTGCGTGGAGGGCACGAGGGCACCTGCTTGCCAGCAGCACCTGCAATGTCTCTCAGACGACAGGGCAGTGTCCTGAACTCCTGCCTTGCTGGAATCTTCTACCCTCCACTGACTGGGCTAGCTAAGAGAGACTAAAAGTGTTGGAAAATGTCACTGGAAAGGACTTGGCAATAGCATCAGACTCTCAGCAGAGGGACCTTCGTGGCTTCCCAGTTCTAGGCTCTGTTTTTGCAGAACCTGAGACTAGGAGGCCAGGTAAGGAGAACCCAGGGCTCCTGCCTCCCAGGCTGATTCCCAACCCCAGGGAATGCTCTCTAACAGGTCATCTTTCTGGGAGCTCCCTAGATGCTGCCCAGCAGTCCCTACCTCCGGTCTGCTGCTGTGCCTGTCTTTGTTGTACCAGCCAAGAGCCCCTCCCTCCAAATCCAGGGCTCACCCTGGCAGGCATCGTCCCGCCAGGAGGAACTGCCAGACAAAGACCTGAGCCTGCCTTCGTGGGTCTCAGCTGACGGCATCTGTGCCTGCCCATCGTGGACATGCTGTTTTCAGAGAACAGAGCATGAAGGCTTTGGGGATTTGGGCCATTCTCCTTGCTCATCTTGGACTGAGGAAGGTCAGACAATAAGTCTGTTGTCTCCAGACTCTGACCCATGAGAAGGCTGAAATGTGACGCTCCACTCTCTAGAACTGTGAGGCCACAGGCTGGCCCATGCCAGGTGAGGTAAGCAGCCCATACAGAGCAGACACTCGCTGACAACCACCCAATGGCTGTTCTCCCCAAAGCACCCTCTCCAGCAGGTGCAGCAGCTAGGGACTGGCTCCTGTGCTGCTTTAGAGGCCCCGCGGTAGGGAGGCTCACAGTGGAACTCCCTCATGACCAGTGGAGGTTCTCTGCAGGGGAAGAGGAATGCTGGTGCCACTGGAGACAGAGTGAACAGTCAGCCCCTTCACCTCTCTCTCTTTTAAAAATGTGTCAGAGGGTGTGTGAACTCGCCAGAGAGCAGCAGAGAGAGGGAACATGGGAAAGCATCAGCCATAGGGCATGGTCATGCCCCAATCGCGTCTCCATCTCACTCTCCTTTGGAGATCTTGGGTGCGCATGCACAAGCATCTGGTGTGTTTCTCAAGCCTCCGGGGCCAGAACTTGAACAGTGCAGTCAGTCATGTAGGATCTAGCTGCCTGAACCACTGCGCCTGGCCCATCCCCTTCCCATCTCTGGACTGGCTGTGGAAGATAGCTTGGAGGCCTGATGCCTGGGCTCTTTGCCATCCAACTCAGTGCTTTTATTAAGTAAAAACAAGATGGCTAGTCAAGGGGCTCAGACCTGGGTGGTTACCTCGCCAACTGATGGGTCCTTACCACAAGGTAGGAGGTAGCAGTCGGGCTGGTTGTACTCTAGTCCTAAAAGAGGCCATGAGGCTCTCTACAGAAAGGATCATTATTGCGAGTGTCTCAAGAAGACCCTCACGGGACCAGCAGTTAGCGAGCGTAATGGCTATGTTGCTGAACTCCCATGTAGTTGACCATGGTTTGAGTCCCAGACCCAGCGGCTTAAACTCACGCCAGGTGCATGTGCGTGCGTGCCCAAGATCCCGAGAGGAGAATGGAGGAGAAGGGATTGCGGTGTGGCCATCCTCCCTGGGGGGTGATTTCTCACTTTCTGTCTCTCTGTCTCTCTGTCTTTCTGGCAAAGGCACGTGCCCTATAGCAAAAACATCTCCAGAAGAAAAGAATACATAAATAAAAAGAAGACCCTCACCACATATGGAGACCACCTTGGGAGGAAGGCAGTTTCAGTGAATTAGTCCTTTATTTCCCTGATAGGGGCGCTTGCACAAAGTTTATGGACAATGAATCTGAAGGCTGATTACTTAGCTCTCTTTGCTTTGGCCACCAAGAAGGTAGAACAAATTTTCAACCTTCTTCCAGCAAGAACATAGAATCCCATGCGCTGTGTATGTGCACCAACCTCGTGGCTGGCGGGACTATATATATATATATATATATATATATTTAAGTTTTTTAAGACAGGGTCTTCCCAGGTCATAATCCCCCCACCTCCACCCAGCTGGGAACTATACATGCACACTGCCACTGCGCAGCACTTGTGTGTGTGTGTGTGTGTGTGTGTGTGATAGAACATGTGTGCTTGCCAGAGAGAGGGATAGTGAAAGGGAAACTGAAAAATCTCCCTCGGGTGATGGTCATACCACGATCTCTTTTCTTCCATTCTCCTCCTGGAATTCTGGGTACTCAGGCACACACATCCAGTGTGATTTTCAGGCCACCAGGTTCAGGACTTGAATCACAGCTGGCCACATGGGAGTCTAGCATCTAAACCACCAGGCCACCTGCTGGCCCCTACCCAGTGCTTTTTAAAACAGGGTCTCAGGTGAGCTGGTGGCATGATGGTTAGGCAGCTAGATCCCACATAGCCAACTGTGTGGTTCAAGTCCCAGCCCTGGTGGCCTGAAAAACATGCCAGACACATGGCCATGCATGATCAAAATCCCAAAAGGAGGGAGAATTTGAAGAGAAAAGATTGTGGTGTGGCCATGCCCTACGGGGTTTGCTTTCTCTGTCTCTCTCTGTGAGTTCAGGAGCCATCTGGCAAGTTAGTGAACAAAAACGACCGGGCCTCTCTATGTTGTCCAGGCCGCATCTGCTACCCTGAGTCACTGGGATTACAGGCACACGCCACCACACCTGGCCTTCAGGTTGGACCAGGTTTCACACTCGGGCCTCCCACGTGCTCCCAGCCTGTGGAGCACAGCATCTTAGCAATGTGCACCAGCACGGCTGGGCTGTGGACCACTTATTTTATTGTGGGCTTTTATATAGAAATATATTTCATGGGAGAAATACTGGGTCATCGGAAAAGTCATGACGTATTTTTCCTATGCAAAAATGTGTCATGACTTTTCTGACCACCCAATATATATATATATTTCCATGAGAGAAAAAGAGACACCCCTAACAGAGTCCCCATGCTGTGATCCACCCCCGGCCACAGCCAGCACAGATCACGGCCACACATACGTGTGCCCACCACGCAAAGGGAGGCCCAAGGATGCAAACCCGGTCCCTTCCCACGAGGGCCTAGCACTGCAGACCATCATGTCATCACTGAGCCACCGCTAGAGTGACAGAAGACAGGTACTCACCCTGCATGCATGAAGATGTATGTCAGGTAGCGCCAGGCCTGTGCTCGGAGTTGTGGGTGGTAAACCAGTGAGTTTTTCAGGTAGTGTGGATGGGTGACCTGCAGCACGAACTGATCCAGCGACACCCCGTTGTAGAGGAAAAAGGCAACCTGGGTGGAAGCACAGAGTGGAGAGGCCTGTTACTCAGCACAGACTGTGGGGACCTCCGTCTTGTGCTGACTCACACTGGGAATTCCCACAGGAAGTTACCCTCTTTCCTTTCCAGAGAATGAGGGACGCCCACACAGCCAGCACCCAACTGAGCTTTCCACGATCCCTTCCCCCGCCCTGTGTGATTCTCTTGCATCCAATGGTGGTAACGTGGTCACGTGGACTCTTAGCCTACACTGCCTCAGGCAGGCAGGGTTTGCAGGATTTAACATTTTAATCCCAGCAATAACTCACTCTTCCACGGGGGATGATGCATTGCACATAGATTGATTTAAAAGAAAATTGTGGTAAAATATACATAATTTACCATCTTAACCCGTTTTAAGTGTCAGTGCCTTCGTGTTAAGTACATGCTGTTATCATGTTATCACCACCGCCATCCATCCACAGCATTCATTCATCCTGTGAAATTGAAACTCTATACCCATCAAACAACTCCCCATTGTTTCCAGGTCCTGGCAACCACCATTCTATTTTCTGTTTCTATGAATTTGTTCTTTCTTTTTTTAAAAAGAGATTTTTGCTATAAGATGTGTGTATTCACTGGACAGAGAGAGAGAGACAGAGAGACAGAAAGCGAGAAATCACCCCCCCAGGGGGGAATGGCCATGCCACAATCCCTTCTCCTCCATTCTCCTCTCAGGATTTTGGGCATACACACGCACACGCCTGGTGTGAGTTTTAAGCTGCCAGGTCCAGGACTTGAACCACGGTTGACTACGTGGGAGTCCAGTGACATAACCATTATGCCATCTGCTGATCCTCTTTCTTTAAAAAAAGAAATTATTTATTTTATTCCATTTGTTATTATTCTTTTTTACTTTGACCAGAGAGAGACAGAGAGAAAGAAAGGCAAAGTGAGAAAGCAAGCCACCAGGTCTGGGACTTGAACCGCGGTCAGCTGTGTGGGAGTCCAGCACTCTTAACCACCACACCACCTGCTGGGCCCTCCCTTTTATTTTTTTAAGAGAGATTTGGACAGACAGAAGTGAAAAATCACTCCCCGGCGGGGATGGCCACACTGCAATCCATGCTCCTCTATTCTTGTCTGGGAATTCAAATTCTATGAATTTGACTGTTCCTTTTTTTTTTTTTTAAAGAGATTTTTGCTATAGGGCACGTGCACTTGCTAGACAGAGAGAGAGAGAGACAGAGACCTTCCGGGGGGGAGGGAGATGGCCACGCTGCAACCCCTTTACCCATTCTCCTGTTGTCATTTTAGGCACGCATGCACACCCACCCAGCGTGAGTTTCAAGCGGCCAGGTCTGGGACTTGAACTGTGGTTGACTACATGGGAGTCCAGTGACATAACCAGTACATAATCTGCTGCTCCCTATGAACTTGACTACTCTAAGCACCTTCTATAAGTAGACTCATACAGCAGTGGTCTTTTTGGGATGCTTATTTCACTTAGCATAATGCCTTCAAGTTTCATCCACATTATAAGGTATTTCAGAATTCCTTTTTGTTTGTTTCCTGAGAAACAGAAAGAGGGAGAGCGAGAGGTAGGTATTTTTGACAGGACCTTACCCACGTGATCCTCTGCCCCAGGTTTCTAGTTAGCTAAGACCATAGGTATGGGCCCCAAGTCGGTCTTGGTTGGGTGAGTGCGGGAGCTGGGCCAGCACCATGGTGGACCCAGCTCTGTGCAGGACTGCTCTACCACTTCCACTGCAGAAGCTGGGCCAGGACTCCCTTCCTCTTTAAGGCTCATAGTCCATTGTATATATAGGCCACATTTTGTTTCTCTATTCATCTATCAATAGACACTTGAGTTGTTTCGTATTTTTAAAATGTTTAATTATTTCTTCCAGGAGAGAGAGAGAGAAAGCACCCCCAATAGGACCTTCGCACAGCTCTCCAGCGCGGCCTCACCCCTCCAGATCACAGGCATGCGCAAGCACACCCAGTGTGCACGGGGAGCCCTTCCCATTCTGCTCCCAGCGCTCGCTACTGCTGCGCCATGGCGGCCGGCCAGCGCCATCTCGTGATAATGCCGCTGTGGGCACGGGTGTACATCTCTCTCGCCGAGTCTTTGCTTTCGATTTTTTTGGTATGTACACAGAAGGGGAATTGCTGGATCATATGGTAATTCTCAGTTTACATTTTTGAAGAAATGCCAGACTGTTTTCCATAGCGGCTGCACCATCTTACATTCTCACCGACAGCGCCCAGGGCTCCAACCTCTCTGCATCCTTGCCAACACACCACGAACGTTGATTCTGCAGATGACTAAAGCACACTCGTTTCAGCTCTAAAAGAGTATTTATTTTAACTATTTTTTCTGGAACTCTTCCTAAAATGCATCATTTATGTCCCTGCGTTCTTAATCAGGATGTATGCATAACTGTTTAAGGATGTCTCAGGTATTGATCTGGGCTCTAAGATGTTCCTGCCAGCAATCAAGGAGGATGGGGTTTTGCTCCTACACTAAACGGTCCCACATTTTTCTTCTTTTTTTTCTAAAGTTTATTTATTTCTTCTGAGAGAGAAAGAGAGAGAGAGAGAGAAAGGCACCTCCAGTAGGGTCTTCACGCTGTGATCCACCTCCAGCCTCAGCCAGCCAGGGTCATGGGTACGGGCATGCCTAGCATGTACAGAGAAACCTAGGGACAGGAACCTGGGACTTCCCCATAGGGCTCTGGCATAATGGAGTGCTTCATTACCCCTGCAACACTGAGGCTGGCCCTGAATTCTTGTGATTTTGTTTTGGTTTTTAATTTGCTATAGGGCACGTGTACTGGCCAGAGAGAGAAAGAGAGAGAGAGAGTAAGAAAGCACCCTCCCTCCCCCACAAAGTGGATGGCCATGCCACAATCCCTTCTCCTCCATCCTCCTCTTGAGATTTCTGGCATGCACCGCCCATGCCTAGTATCTTGGGTTTCTTTCTTTCTTTTTAAAATTGTATTCATTGGCATTATTTTTATTTTATTTTTTGGAGTTGACTCGAGAGAGATAGAGAGAGAAGGAAAGTGAGAAAGCAAGCTGCCAGGTCTGGGACTCGAACCGTGGTCAGCCATGTGGGAGTCCAGACGCCTCAACCATCACATCACCTGCCGGTCCCATGTCTTGTGTTTCTTTAAGACTCAGGTCTGCTTTTAAATTCTCTTTGGTTGCTTTTCTCACTGCCAGGTTGTCAGCTGCTACTTCCTGTGGCTTGCAGGTAGTGGGCCCCCCCTTCTAGTTGCTTCGCATCCTGCCCTTGCTATTTTCTGTTACAGATTTAGAAAGCCAGGCTGCTAGAACTGCACGTAAGAGAAGCGGCCTGGGCTTCGGCGTAAGGGCTTGGTGATCGCCATTTAAGCTGTCTGAACATGCCCCAGTTTCCTCGTATTGACTAGTGGCTCAAGTTTACATAATCTGGACACAGATTCTGGCTCCTCTGCACAAACTTGGGCAAATTATTGGAATCCTCTAGCTCTCAGTGTTCTGATCTGGAAACGGGTACCAATGCTTAGACTTCCAGAATGATCCTGGTGTTTAACAGTGACAGCGTATGCAAAGAGCCTGCCCCGTGTCCAGCACGCATTCAGAGAATGAAGCTATAATTAGTATTGGGTAAAAATCCTTTGCCCCAGCAGGTGGTATGGTGGTAAAATTACCACCGCACGGCCAATGGCAATTTGAGTCTCAGACCCTGAGGCTTGAAAATCACACTGTGTTTCCACCCAAAATCCTGACAGGAGATTGGGGAGAAGACTTGTGGCGTTGTCCTCCCCTGGGGGTGGCAGGGTGGGCATAATTTCTCACTTTCCCTGTCTATCTCTCTCTGGCAAGCACATGCACTTTATAGCAAAAACCTGAAAACCTGGGGACCAGCAGGTGGTGTGGTGGTTAAGGCGCTGCATACTCCCACATGGCTGACCAGGGTTCAAGTCCTGAATCTGGTGGCTTGATTTCTCACTTCCTCTCTCTCTCATACTCACCCTCTGTCTCTCTCTGGTCAAATTAAGAAATGAATGAATGAATAAAATAATTATTAAAAAGAAGTTTTTTTTAAAAAAAACCTAAAAACAAAACAAAACAGACAAGCAAAAACAATCTGTGGGCAAAGCTTGAGAGTGGCTCCGGCCCGGCTCCGTGCCGGCAGCTGTACTCCCCTGGGCTCTCCGAGGAGCCCTTCTGTCCACCTCGCAGCACGCGGGTGGCCTGGCAGCGGACACAGCTGCCAAGGCGGTTCTTTATTATTGGTCCTCAGATAGAAGTTAATAAGTAGACCCACACAGTGCGCGCTTGAGGAACAAATCTGAGAATCTCCCAGAAAAATTGCAACTTCAACATGTTCGTGGACGAAGCCATAACAACAGACCGAGGAGCTCTGGCTGCAGACCTGATATTCTGATCTGGGGGGAGAAAAAAACGAAGAAGATGCCACGAAGCTTGACGATCCTGCCGTTTGATTAGGCAAGAACTTTACAAGAACATATGCAGAGGCGGTAATTAGGCCCGTGGCTTTGGAAGAGAAACGGTGGAGATCATAAAATGCCAAGAGAAGCAGTCATTCAGGAGCTGGGGCTGGGGTGGGGGAGCCACGCAAGTCCTGGGAACGAACAGCCTAAAGAATCCCTTTCATCACCTGTGGGCACGGGTGCAGAAAGCGAGGGGGACCTTTGGATTCTCTTGTGGGTGCAGAAAGCGAGGGGGACCTTTGGATTCTCTTGTGGGTGCAGAAAGTGAGGGGGACCTTTGGATTCTCTTGCGTCAGCAGGCGAGTTTTAGCATAACAATAGGTAGGAATGATTCCCCGAGGGGTGAATGCTCTTTAAAATTATGAAGCTCATATTCATTCTTCATAAGCTCTCCCTCCCAGACATGCGATGCTTTCGTGTTCAGAAAGCACCACCAGCCGTTCTGTCACTCTGAACCCTCCCACAGGCGGCCCAGGAGAGGGACGGCAGGTGTGGGCGTTCCACTTTCACAGGTGGGAAAATGGAGTCCCACAGGAGCAGAGGACCGGTCCAGGTTACCCACCCAGAGAGAAATGCCAATAAACTGGCTTTCACGAGTTAACGGTTGCTCCATCTCTGAAGCCAACGATCTTGTTACACTGTGGCTATCATTCTGGTGGAGGTGGAGGGATGGGGACTTGGCTGCAGGAGTGATGCTTGATGTCAGAATGCTGGACTACCTCTCTGCAGGCCAGAGTGACGGCGACACTGTTCCCACTGTGACAGGTTGGGGTCCCAGTGACAACTGCTGTTTGATCTTCACCCCTGGCCCGTGGGTGCAGAAAAACAGCGCCCTCCCCTCGTGATCTCTGGCGTCCGCTGGGCTCCTCTCCCTGTGCCTCCCAGCCCCACTCTCCTGGAGGAACAGCCCCTCCCCCACCCTCGTCCTTGCCTCCAGCAGCGTGACCGTGATCATGAACCAGGGCGGGGGGCAGCAGGTGTAGCTGTCGTAGTACCACTTGCGGTCAATCTCCCGGGGCAGGGTCTCGTAGGCCACGTGGCGGATCAGTCGCTGTGAAAGACTCAGCCCTTTCTCCTCCAACAGGGCTTTGCTGCTCAGTCTGCGGTTGCCCTGCAGGATGGCTTGGCGGAAGCTGTTGGAGCGTTTGTTGCTCATCTGTGCAGGAAATGGGGGCAAGGACAGGGTCAGCGCTGGGGCCTCAGGACCCCGCCCCCCCCCACTTCCCATACAGCGTGTTCCTTAGACCTGGCCCAAGCCCACCCTCCTGTTTTCTGTAGCAGTTACAAGAAGCAAGGTCCACTGAGCTCTTCTTACGTGGCAGGGTTATGCGAAGCGCATCCCATGTGTTGGTGCATTGGCATTCGTGACTACTCATCTGTTAGATGAGGACTGGGAACAACCTCATTGTACCAAAGAGGAAACTGAAATCCACCGAGTTCAAACCCAGGAAGGCTTCAGAGCCTGCATGTGTAGTACTTCCTTCCGCCCATCACTCATCATCCATCCACGACAGTTTCCTGAGCAGCTACTAAGTGTCAGGCATATTACCAGTTTCGGAGGATAATCAAGATAGGTAAGCAGCCAGCAGTCACAGTTCAGAGTCCCCACTGCTGCAGAAGCCCAAAGTGAGGGCTCCCTGGAGGAGGTGATGTCTGAGTGAGTTAGATGAGTAGGAGGTAGTATCCTCAGACATGCTAACTTAGGGAGAAGCAGGCCACTCTTGGTTAGATGGGTTTGTAGAGAGGTCCCCAGAACCAGGGATTAAAACTAGATCTGCCGGTGGAGCCCCACCTGAGGACTGGCCTCCCCAAGGGCAGCCTGAGGCTGCCTTGATACAAGCCTGATTCCCAGAGACCAGAGGTGACCTTGCTGACCTCCAGCCTCCAGAGGCCCCTGTTGCCTCCCACCTGCTCTCTAGGGCTACACTCTAGACCTTTCTTATGGGGAAAAGTCCTAGCTCTTCCAAGTCCAGACTCAGCCATTCCATGGTTGCTGGTGCGGGGGATTATCAATGTAGTCCTAGGACCGTGGGCCCAGCCAGAGACATTAGGCTAAACCTCAAGACAAGAGCCCCGACAGGGCTGATGAAATGAGCCAGGTTGGGGGGCTGGCAGGTGGCATAGTGGTTGAAGGCACTGGATTACCACATGGCTGACTGTGGTTTGAGTCCTGGACCTGGTAGCTTGCTTTCTCGCTGTCCCTTTCTCTCTCTGTCTCTCTGACCAAATTAAAAAATAATAACACATGGAATTAATTAAACAAATAATTCCTTTAAAAAAAGAAATGAACCAGGCCAGATCCAGGCACAGGGTTTGAGCTTCTGTCAGAGGGAAGGTAGCTGGGGAGGATCTGGGTTCGGATCAGGCAGGCAGCGTGAGCCTCCATCTGCAGGGCCTCCACTTCTCTCCTGAGTTCTGCTCTCACCTTCAGTATCTGGTTTAAAGCTTACCCCCACCAGGAAGCCGAGTCTAGAGATGGGAATTTTCCCAAACACCCATAGTCAGGACCCATAATCAAGAGCTGGGATTAAACCTAGATCTGCCTGACTCCAGCATCCATTCTTACTCCACAGGACTTTAGTGTGCATCAGCTAGGGAGCCTCTTCTTCCAGCCCGTGCATCCACTGCCAGGCCTTGGTGAGCAGAGCCCAGGCCAGATTTCAGTCCCCGCTGCCCCTCAGTCAGGCATGCTGGTACAGCACACAACCTGCACACCGGATGTGACAGCTGTGGCCGCTCCGTCGTAAGGCAGTGTGGTCTGAGGTGAGAGAGGGGTGCGGCTCGGGGCTGGTAAGGGCTCACAGAGGATGCAGAGGAGTTTACCAGGCAGAGGAACATTAAGGGAGGAGAAAAACTTTCAAATGCTTTATCTTATTTGATTCTTGCAACAGCCCTGAAGAGGGTTCTGGCTTCATTTGACAAATGGGAAAGCCCAGGCCCAGAGGATCTCTCCCAATAGGGGGCAAAGGCATAGCCAGGACCAGCACCTGGGTCTCCCTGACTCCAGTCTGAACCCTCTGCCTTACCTGAGTGCCACGCTAGGAAGCCCCTTCTCCGCCTGATCTCCAGGGCAGCCCCGTGAGCCTAGGCTATGGCTGGCCAGTTCTAGCTCAGAACTCAAACAGAGACGATCCAGCAGGAACGAGAGGGTTCTGCTGAGCTCCGGCTGGACGGAAGCATCTCACTGGCTCAGCCTCCCTCACTTGGCCCTGTGAGGGAGGGCGTCTTGTCGCAGCACGCGTGCTGATGCTGGGGCTGTGGAGGGGCGCGCGCTGGCTTAAACCCATGGCCTGGTCTGGGGCGGCACTGCTGGGCTCCAAGCCAGAGGGCTCACCTCCACCACCCTGTGAATCCTGACAGTCCTCATGTCTCCCCCTCCTTTGCCCCCAACTCGGTGAGGTTTCCCGGCCTCCAGGAGGCTCTCCCCAGGCCCCCTCTGAACAGCAGTAGATTCCTTGGTCCTCAGAGCATGCTAGCACCCATGCCAGCCCTGGCCAGGAGGCTGTTAAAGCGGCCCCACAGCTTGGGCATCACGTCAGAGAGCTTGTGTGGCCTGGCGATGGTCTGAGTGCCACGGGTTCCCCAGTACTGATGCCTCTGAGTTCCAGAAGCCTGGGGAACCTCACACGAGCCATTCCGTGGGTGACGCGAAAAGGGGGCCGGCCCCATTACTCCAGTAGGGAAATGGAGTGAGGACTCCTGGTCTCGTAGTCATCCAGCTAGATTATGCAGCTCCTACTCATCGCCCATCCAACCCATGGTGGGACACACTGCCTGCTTAACCCTACGGACCCCCATTCCCCAAACAGCACAGCATTAACTCTCAGTCAGGAGGAAGTCTTCACTTGGGGTCTCAGACCGCAGAGCAGAATTCACAGGTCTCCTGTCTCCAGCCGCACCATGAGCCAGGACATCGTCTAGCAGGACTGACAGTCTGCTGCATGGCTCCCAAGGATGTCTGGCCTGGCCCTCCCAGCACCTACTCCCCAGCGCATCCTCCCTACTCTCAGCGCCTCGTTTTGTGGTAATGACCCACTCTCAGTTCCAGGGGCGGGAAACTGTTCTGAGTCAGTCCACGCATCCCACTGACCCAGTGAGGCTTCCAGAGAGAGGAAAGGCCAGGCCTTCCACTCTCCTCATGAGCCTGCGGGTGTAAGGGTAGGACAGCTGCAGCCACCTCGCTGCCACAGTGCTGAAGTCTGGCACTGCCAGGGGCTGCTTTGAGAACAGGGTGACCCTGCAGAAGGCAGAGCAGAGAGGCAAAGGGCCACCGGGCTCAGTGACGCCTTTCCACCTGTCACCTAGACTTGTTTCTGTGCTGCGGGCCGGCCCTCCCTTTGTCTATGTCCCTGCAATGTGTCCGGGCTACAAACTCCAAATGGGCCCATCTTTGTGTGAGGGCCCTGGAGCGCTCACCAGGTTGACAAAATCCTGGTAGCAGATCTGCCCGTCTGCGTGGCTGTCGGCGAGCGCCAGGAGCACCTCCCTTTTGTGCGGGTCCAGCTCGGAGCTGTGGCTCTCCAGGAGGCTGCGGAACTTGCCCGTGCTGATGTAGCCTGTGTTCCCAGGGTCGCACTGCAGGAGAAGCAGACAGCACGGTCAGCAGGCACCGCCTCTCAGCTCCAACGTGGATATCCCATCGCCACCTCCACGCCTGGGCTCCTGTCCTCAGACCTCTGAGGTTTTTGCTATAGGGAGCATGCGCTCACCAGAAAGGCAGAGAGAGAGACAGAAAGTGAGAAATCACCCCCCAGGGGGGGTGGCCACACTGCAATCCCTTCTCCATTCTCCTCTCGGGATCTTGGGCACGCACGCACACGCGCCGGTGTGAGTTTAAGCCACTGGGTCTGGGATTCAGACCGCGGTCGACTACATAGGAGTCCAGCAACATAACCATTACACCAACTGCTGGTCTCATGGGAAACATCTCAATAGGGCCAGGACAGCCATTTAAAATCCCAGAGGCCCTACAGACCTTCATGATCACCTGAGCCAACCATCCCATCAGATAAGGAAACTGAGGCTCTGAACAGGTCAGCTGCCTCCCTCAGCCCGTACTCCTGACCCAGGAAGTAAAAGCAGGAGTGAAAAGGCAGCAACGGCGACGACACCAGGAGGAGGAAGTTGCAGCAGGAGGCCTTCCAGAGTGGCAGGCGAGGAGGACGGGGGCTGAGCTGCGGGGGCTCTGGGAGAGGGGATGTCTCGTAAGTCCACAGCCCCACCTGTGCAGGACTGCCTGGTCTCTCCAAGGGCACCCTGCTCGCTTGTTTTGGTTTGTGTGTGCACATGTGAGTCTGCATGTGTGTCCATGTGTGTTTTACACCATGCTCTTATCTTCTGCAGTTTTGCACACCTGAGTCCCTCTGTCTAGGACTCTGTTAATCCAACTCACTCTTCCCAACTATGTGGATTCTCCTGTCCAGAAGGCTCCCCTAGCCACGGCCCATGCTGGCCACTCCCCTGCACTTTGGATGGACTTCCAGACCTGCAGCCCACACCGTTCTCTACGGATTTTCACCTCCGCGCTGGACCGTGGCTCCTTGGAGGCTGGCCTCGCAGCCCATCACTGGTGCTTAGCCCAGGGCCTGGCGTTACTGGCACTCAGCGATTAAATAATGGATGTTCAAATGAAAAGAAAAGCACTAGTTTTCCACAAAAAGCCTTGTTGATTCTCCCAGGGACGATCTTAACCTTTCTGGCCCTCTTTCCTCACAGATCTCACACGATGTTCACCCCAACCCACACCCTGCTGGAAAATAACCCTAACCGTCTCTAGCGGGTGCCGAGCGCTTTCCTGTTCACGAAGTGCTACTGCATCCCCAAGCCACTGTAGAGGCGCGCCGATTTGACAGCACAGACTCTGGGCAGGTGTGTGCTTGCCCGACCAGGAGTCCGGGAGACCAAGGCCACGCTCCCCCTTTTCTGGATAAGGCCAATGAAGGCTATTTTAGGAAGGCAGATTCTGTGCGTAGCATTTCTAAGACAACTCAAGAGCCACAGTTGGGAGTCAGCCACGGGCTATGTCAGCTCCCCCCAGAACTGAATTCACAAGAGAGGACACTGCTAATGAGGCCTATTTTAAAATCTGCATATCTTCCCTGCTCTCACCCCAAAACACCTGGTTGCAGAGATGGCACCTATTTGGTTCACATGAGCGAGAGTTTCAGGAAACTCACACACTCCCTGCTCCATAAGATCTTTAAGAATGAAAACACCGTGGGCCGTCCTCATAGCAGAGCAGGTGAGGCTGTGTGATGGGGGTCAGGTCCAGCATGGCTGACCGAAGCTTGAATCCTGGCCCTGGGGCTTGAAAAACATGCCAGGCACATGTGTACATGTCCCAAATCCTGACAGGGTGAAGAAATAGAGAAAAGACTCCAGTATGACCATGCTCCATTGGGGGACGCTTTCTCTCTCTCTGTCTCTGTCTCTCTCTGGTGAGCACACAAGCCCTCTGGCAATGAAAAAACAAAAGCAAATGCATCTAACATTTGCTGAGTATTTTCATGGAGCCAAATACTGTTTTAAACATTTGAGGTACATAATTTCTTTGACCTTTACAACAATCTTAGCCAGTATCTCCTGTCATTATTCCCATATTACAGATGAGGGGACGGAGGCACAGAAAAGTTGGCACAGAGAGGTTAAGTGACTCTCCTGGCAAACAGCACAGCCAGGATTCCACAGGCAGACAGCTTAGCACTGCCTCTAAACCACAGCTGGTTACCTCCGACCTTCAGCCTCCAAGAACTGCTCTGCTGTTTAGAAGCAAAAATCAAGGACCAGGAGCCTGAGTGGAGACCCAGGGGAGGTGAGAAGGAGTCTTACAATCCTACCCAAAATGAAGATTTTTGAAGCAGGGAAGAGCCCCAAACAGCAGCGGTTCGGACCTATTGCTTAAGTGAGGGCACTAAAGGCTAGAGAGGGCGTGTGGCAAGGGTGGACAGGGAGGGTCTCCTAATTTTTTTTTTTTTTTTGGTGCTTGAGACCCCCTCCCACCCTTATGAGCCACCTGTGTCAACCCTGACCTCACACAGGGGCTCCCTGGCCTGGCCCTGCCTGCTCCTACGTGATCCTTATGAACTGCGCAGGCAGATGGAGGGTAGGGGTGGGGGTCCTAGGAAGATCCCAGTGGGCAGTGCAGGGGGGCAGTGGTCTGCTGCACAGCATGGAGTCTCTCCTGCCTCAGACTGGGGGAGGAAGCCCAGGGCTTTGCATGCGCTGGGAGCAGGGATGCCAACCCCCTCCCAGGGGCTGCCTCACCAACTTGAGAGGGCTGTGGGGTGGGATGGGGGGCTGGGATCAGGCTCCAGACAAAGAACCACCTGCTCCCCTCTCCTCCCCCCCTCCTGGGCTCCCTGCTGTTGTCCTAGTGACAGGGGCTGCCCTGTGGCTCCTGGAGGCCCCCACCCCACCCCCTCATGGCCTGCCCCAAGCACACTCCAGGCTCCAGACTGCAGAGAATGAGCTGGAATCGGGCCGAGCATCCATTCTCTGCCAAAATGCTACCTTTCATGCCAGGGCCAGACAGGCCAGACAATGCGGGGTCACTGCTACCCTAATAATGAGGCCTCAGGGACTCAGGAGGAAGACTGGAGGAGGGAGAGGCAAAGATGGGCCAGCAGTCTGGGCTCCACGAATGCACACGAGACACCTTTCAACATCTCCCACACACCTGCAACACGTGGGTGGATGAGGGCAAGGGCAGAGGCTGACAGCAGGCATGGGGCACAGGGGGGTGGAGGGACACAGAGAGAGACAAAGGGATGGGGAGAGATAGACAGCATGTGCCCAGAGAGCAGAGAGAGGTCGGTCCTATTGTCCCAGGTGGAAGCAGGGAGCTTCGCTGACAGCAGGCATGGGGCACAGGGGGGTGGAGGGACACAGAGAGAGACAAAGGGATGGGGAGAGATAGCATGTGCCCAGAGGGCAGAGAGAGGTCGGGCCTATTGTCCCAGGTGGAAGCGGGGAGCTTCTAAAGGAGGCTGTGCCCCTCACTCAGGGGTAGCAAGAAACAGGCGAAATCTTTCTCGTCTCGGCCACCAACCAGGGTCTGCGTAATGAGGATGGATAGTCTGCGTCAGGCTTGCCTCATCTGTTAAGTGGGGCTGGTGACCCCCAAGGTGCTAGACTGAAGCCAGCACAGGGCAGCAGCTCTCCAGGGCCTGGGGGCTACCCGGCCAGCTTCTCTTACCTCATTCAAATAGGGGTGAAGAGCACCACGCTGTCGAGAGATGGGGCTGACCCTTGGCACACACCCTCGCCTTCGGCCTCATGTTAGGGGGATGAGACCGCACAGCACCTTGGCTTGGAGGTATTGGGGGAAAATGTCCTACAAGTGCAACTTCCTTCTTGGTAACATGCTGGAGGGCCCGAGGCTTCCCCTGCCCCAGGTACCCTGTGCCCTGCGTTGGCAGTGGGGTGAGCTGGGATGAGATCTGGGCTGAGTGGGTTTGAAGCAGCCCTACGGGGCTCGGTCTAGGGGTGGTCTGGGGCAGCTGGAGGAATGCGGGCTGTGAATGGGCTGCAGGGGCCCAGTGGGGAGCAAGGATCCAGGAGCCTCCTGAATAGAGCCCAGAGCTGCTGGGGTGGGGGGCACTGCCCATGCAGCCCAAGTGGAGGATGCTGGAAGGAGACAGGCAGGCAGTGAGGAGCTGGCCCTCCCACATCTTCTCCAGCCGCCTTGGCCTGGAAAAGAGCTTCCAGAGGCCCGGAGGGGAGGGGACTTCTAATCCCACTAATGCCCAGCCCCCTGACTCCTAACCCTCTAGGTCACCAGTTCTCCCCAGCCCGAGGCCTCATACACACTCGCCCCCTCCTATCTCCTACCCTGGACGTCTCAGGCTGGAGAAGTGCTCTGTCGAATTCGGAACTGCTGCCCTTCTCTGCGGCAAGATGTTGGGGAAGGAGCCCCCATCCTCAGCTGCTATTGCATCAGGGCTGGATCATTCGACCGTATTGCCTCAGTTTCCCCATCAATGAAATGGTAGGGATTCTCCGGTCTCATAAGCGTGCCATATGTTAATGGGAGGTGGGAAGAGGGAAATGCACAGGCCTTCCAGCCCATGGGGCAGCTGGTCTCTACCGAATCCTTGTGCGGCCAGGGAGCTGATGGAAGTGTGGAATTAGGAGAAGGTGGCTCCTCAAGGGGAGTGACCCACGGCTGCAACCATCCAGGTCAGTGCAGTCAGAGACCTGGGGACACTGGAGAGACAGGCAGCAGACCAAGGAATTACAAATCACGGCCCTGGGAAGCTGGCAGGAACCGCGGTGGTTTTCAAACTGCTGCAGAATTTTGAGGGCCATGAGACGTGCAAGGCCCGGAGGCAGTGGAGAGGGGGTTGCTGAGTAGCCGCTAGCCCTCCTCAGCAGACTGGCTTCACTGTGAGCCTGTCCACACATGGGCCTTCCACATACTATCGGGGTGAGCACCCCAGTAAGAGCTACCTTATGTGGGATGTCTGCTATGTATCAGGCACTGCCTTGCCAAAGCCTCAGGTCACCATACACCCTGGTTTGCCCAGAACGGTCCTTGTTTGTACCTGTTGTCCAAACAATTATTAACAGAGTCCCCA